GTGTGCGTGTGTGTGTGTGTGTGTGTGTGTGTGTGTGTGTGTGTGTGTGTGTGTGTGTCAGGCTACAGGCAGCTGTTCCAGCCCGTTATCAAGCAGGTGGTGGATTTCTACCAGCCGACCTGCATCGTCCTGCAGGTCAGTCAACTTATCTGACTGCTGTTTGATGCAGCCGCTGCTGATTTAGGTGATGTATCATTGTGTGTGTGTCTGTCTGTGTCTGTGTGTGTGTGTGTGTGTGTTTGCAGTGTGGAGCAGATTCTCTGGGCTGTGACAGACTGGGCTGTTTTAATCTCAGCATACGAGGACACGGGTGAGGCCAGCATCCTTTTATAATCTCCTGTGTGGCAGATTTTAAAACATTCATCTGATTTCATTCGATTCAACACACACACACACACACACACACAAACACACAAGTTTGCACAGCTATCCAATTGGGGACATTCCATTGACTTCTATTACATTTCTACAGCCTAACCCTGACCACAAACCCTAAGGCTAACCTCACAGGTACATACCTGACTCAAAAACTAACCTAAACTCAATTCACACCTTGGTCCTAAACCCAACCCCCAACCCACCAATGGCATTTAAACCAAACAGGGACGCGACTTTTGTCCCCAAATGCACCAGTTGTCCCCAAATGTAGGATTTTTGTCTTAAAATTGCCCCCAAATGTCACCAAAGCCGAACCCACATACATTCCTACTATGTCTCTCTATCCTTGTGGGAACTTTCCATTGTCTTCCATTCATTTTTTGGAAATTTTGTTGCTAACCCTGACAATTTACCCTAAAATTAACCTAATCTAAATTCACACCTTGGTCCTAAACCTACCCCACAACATGTCAACATATGACAGTAGTCTGAGATCACTTTATTCTGTTATGTTTACAAATGTTAAGAAGTCAGAGCAAAAGAGAAACATGCCATGGCACACAATGAAACAAATTTATTCATCAAATAACCAAGTAAATTTTTTCACGTACATAAAATACATGTTCAAAGCATCACAGTGACGGAAATGTCTAATGATGATGATCATGAGCAGCTAATGAACAACCACAATGCAGCTGTGGTTTTAAGCTGCTGTTTATACTTTTGACCACAAGATGGCACCAAAGGGTTCTTTGTTAAAACTTCCAAAAATTTGTTGTTGTTTTTTTTAAACAAGCTTCATATGGCATCACTGATCTGTAACTTCTGTCATGTGTGTGTGTGCTTTTCAGTGAGTGTGTAGAGTTTGTAAAGAGCTTTAAGATCCCTCTGTTGGTTCTCGGAGGGGGAGGATACACTGTGAGGAATGTAGCTCGTTGCTGGTAAGTATGACGCTCAGAACAAAAGGACTAAAAGTCTAAAACAGTCTAACTTTACTATAAAGTTTCTTTCAGGATACCCAAGGACGCTGTACAATAGAAAAAAATTAAAATGAAAAAAAAAACTGTAGATACATATAATGATAAAGGTAGTGTGTGAGAAACAGAAATGCGGAGTACAGAACAGTCATATAATAAAATACAATAATGCAAACAAATTGAACAATAAGGTTGTGGGGGAGAAACATCGAAGTGTGGACAACAAAAACAGACATATTTTGAAGATTGGAGTTAACAGTTGTAGGCTAATTTGAAAACGTGTCTTCAGGCCAGTCTTAAACAGGGAGAGAGAGGTTGTATTGCGTAATCCATGGGGACGTGAGTTCCAGAGCTGCGGAGCAGAGTGGCTGAAAGCTCTGCTCCCCATGGTGCTGAGGCGTGCAGGGAGTACTGAGAGTTGGAGGGAGGAGGCAGATCTTAGAGAGCAGGAGGGTGCGGAGATGTTCAGGAGGTCAGACAGGTAAGGAGGGGAAAGATTGTGGATAGCTTTGAAGGTGTGTAGGAGAATTTTAAAGATGATGCAGGATTTAACTGGGAGCCAATGGAGCTGTTGTAGGACTGGAGTGATGTGGGCAGAGGATGAGGTTTGAGTGATTACACGGGCTGCTGAGTTCTGAACCATCTGTAGTTTGTGAAGGGATTTATTGGGGAGGCCAAACTGTAGGGAGTTGCAGTAGTCGATCCTGGATGTTACTAGGCTGTGTACAAGGATGGCAGTGGAGCGGGGGGTGAGTGAAGGACGGAGACGGTTAATGTTGTGGAGATGAAAGTATGCAGATTGAGTCACGTTGTAAATGTGGGATTTGAAAGAAAACGTGGTGTCAAGGATGACACCTAGTTTCTTGACCTGAGGCGAGGGGGAAAGAACGGAGTTGTTAAAAGTAGGCCTGTCGCGATAGACAATAAATCAATTAATTGCACGATAACTTTTTTTGAGGTCGGTAAAAAAAAGACGGCGATAAGTTTCATTTTCCTGCTTGTTTTTTTACTTCGTCTCTCTCCCTCTCTGTGCTCCGCTGCACAGGAGCTCAGCTGACCCCTCCCCTCCTGTTTACTTAGTGTGGGAGGAGCGAACTCTCGCTTTAGCGTGAGAGCTCGTTCCTAAAGAAATGTTTCAAAGCAGAACGCGGCTGCTGAAGTGTTGGGAGCACTAGAGCCTGGATTTCGCTGCGGAGGGAGGGAGGGAGAGAGAGAGAGACGGAGTGAGACAGAGAGACAGAGGGAGACAGAGACAGAGACAGAGAGAGAGAGAGAGAGAGAGACAGAGAGAAAGAGAGAGAGAAGGAGTGAGACAGAGAGACAGAGAGAAAGAGAGAGAGAGAGAAGGAGTGAGACAGAGAGACAGAGAGAAAG